TTACCTATTATCCCCTTTGATTCTTCAGACCCTTCGATTGAGTTCTGATTACTTCATCATGTGTTAACCTCCAATCTAAGGTCAGTTGTGGAATTTAGCCCTTTTGGTCTATGGGAGATCAAAGTCCCTTTTTTTTTAATAGGCTCTAAATACACCCCTTTTAGCTTCTGGCAAAAACAAAAAAAAACCTGTTCTCCTGAAAGCTATGCGTCACATTAAACAGACCAGAGTCCTCCAAAATTCTTACTCTTAGTCTACAGCTTTCATAAGACACCCTGTTAGAGCAACTGCCACCTAAGATAGCTCTCCGACCTCTGTTTAAAAACTACTAGTCTCTATTGTGTGGTTATTTTTCATCAGTAATCATTTAGGGAGCAGGAGGAGTTTTATGGGATTTTTTTTCCATTCCCTTGGAAAAGAAATAGAAGAGAGAGTCTTTAGGTTTATCCTCATGGGGGTTTTGCTACAACTGCTTGGTCAGAGTTCCATCCAGTGATGACATTGTTGCTTGACTGACCAATTAACCAAAACCACCAGGAAAGCAAATAAGAGCATGCTGAATTTTTTCTTTTTTATTCAGTCATAATATTGTATTATACAAATGAGTACTAAAGGAAAATTAATCCGGAGACATAGTGAAACAATTTATACCTCAAATTTTTATACTTACACAGCCAATTCTGACTGTTGCTATGTGGACTTCTCAATGAGGTTCAAGTATGCTTAATGAGTTCAAATATGATATCTAGTGTTGACGATGTTCATGCTAGTCCATAATATTCAGTATATTTTAATTAAATGAGAGGAGGAAAAACTGAATTCCCCATTTTCATGGCAATTCAATATTAGCTGCTAGAAATATATGTAGATATGTATATTTATATATATAAAAAGCAAGCGACCGGAATACTATAAAGACCAGAATGACCAGTTGCTATCATGCCCACTGTGGCCAGCAAACCGTCAGATCAGGGGGTGGGGCTGGCCAGCCAACCTCCCACGGCTTCTCCTCACAGCCAGCCCAGCCCTGATAAGTCCTGATAGCCCTGATCAGGGTGGCAGGCCAGCCAACCTCCAGCTGTCTCCTCCTCCAAACAAGCACCACCATTGCACAAATTCGTGCACTGGGCCTCCAGTATATATATATATATATTGGCTGCTAGATGTCTGGATTTCCATGACAAAACAGCCTTCTCATCACACTCTCCTTCCATGGTGCTGAGGTCTTGATGTGGAATAAGAAAGTCAGCCAGAACTGGGTTATAAACCTGCTTTATTACAAGTAGATAGTAGACATTGAGAATGATAAAGTAAGTAGAACTTTGGACAGATGAAAGGGAAACAAATAAATCAAGGGTATGCCCAACAATAAATTTCAGAGTCAGAACTGTAACACCAGGTAATTATCAAGAAAGGAGACTCCCTATGGAATAGTGCAAGATAGCAGTGCCCTTCTCATGTTGTTATCCACAGATTTAGATCACGCTGAACGATCAATACTATGTCATGATCAAACACCACCTCCAGCCATGTATACCCTACACCCAAGCTCTATGAAGGACAGAAAGCAACAGATTGGTCCTAGCCCTTGGAAAGGCTGGTGGAATACGTGTGGATTAGTCTGTACTGGGGGTATTATTTTCCTGCATAGTCTTCTTTATCCAGTCAATGTAGTTCTTCACTCTTGTGTAGATCCCGTAGGTCCCACATTGTGGGCCCCAGGACACCAAGCCAGCTACATAGAATTTGGGATTACTTTTATCGGGGTCTGGTAGAACAAGGGCCCCACCACTGTCCCCTTCACAGCTATCAACACCTTTCTGATCTCCAGCACAGATCATGTTATCAGTAAAAACGAAGGTTTTTATATCCACTCCCGATTTTTTTGCCTTCACCTCCTTGCACTTTTGTAAAGGAGCAATGGGTAGCCTTGCCCCTCTGAGCTGTAAAACAATATTTTTATTTTCTGTTCTGCCCCAGCCTGAAATCAGTCCAATGGCTCCCTCTGAGGGGTTGTACTCTGAGGAGTTGCCTGGCAGGCAGATAAGGGACACAGTGGGTCCCATTTTCACTGGGTCTTTAAGCCGTACCAGCGCAATGTCATTGTCAAAATTCTTCCGTGTGTCCGGGTCATCTAGGGAGGTCCAACCCGGATGAATAATCACACGTTCAGGAATGAGCATCTGGGAATTTGTCAGTCTTTCACGATTCACTAAGGTAGACCCAACATACATTTCTGGGTTCCGGTTTTTCTCCACAACATGCGCAGCTGTCAGCACCCAATACTCATCAATGAGAGCCCCACCAGCCCGTGGGTGTGCAAAGAAGACTTGCCAGGGGAAATTTTCAATAAATGCAGGAGACCCTCCAAATATCCTCTGTGTTCCTTCCAAGGGTTTACTGGGAATTCCACAGACTAGGAAGGAACAAGAACAAGGTTAGGAGGGAGCAGGAAATAAATTGCTAGCCTCCTACAAGTCCTCCAACCATTTAAAAACCTGCCAGGTTTCAGAGCTCTCTAGCACAATATAGCCAACCCTGTGTTTGGTCAACCATCTTCGTACTTGACTCATTCTGAACATACCTAAGGACTAAACATCCCATGTTGCCAATTCTACAAACAGGCTATGGGAAAGACTGGGTAAACTGAGGCAGTGTGTGAACTACTACTCATGGCCCCGTAGACCTCATCCCTGGGAGCCAGGCTGGGAAACTCTTTCCTCATACAGACAGTAGGAGAGGCAAGCATTCTACCTTCATCTTATGCTTAAATCAAAAGCTACCACCTTCTTTACTGAAGTCCTAATTATAGCTGAGTCCCTCCTAGAGATCCATGGAAATAGGGCAAAGGGAGGCTTCTCTTCTTTCATTTCATTCCCCATTGATTGGTTCTAGGTTTGATCACTTGCCATTGCCCAGTATTACTAAAAATTAATTTATTTCAGGTAAAGTTGTCTTACCTAAATCCCTCACTAGTCAGCCTGATGGACTCTGAGTTGAGCATAACAGGCTTAGGCCTCAGACCTGGGTTCGAAGCCTACCCCTACCCCTTACTAACTTTGTGAGCTTGCACTTAATTCACTCATCTGTAAAATGGGACTAATAATACCTACCTCATAGGGCTGTTGCAAGGACTTGAATGAGGTAATAAATTCAATTAACTAGCTCAGGCCATAGTAACACTGTTGTTACTACCGGAATCATTATTATCTTGGCTTTGCCTGAGAGCCTTCTCCTACTCCACTCTGATCTGTCTGCAACCCCTCATTTTTTTTTTTATTGTCTTTACCTCACTGAGCTACACTCTGGTAGGCCCCGATTGTTAACACAGAAGGATTACAGCTACTTTCAGAGGTTGACCCCACTCACCTGTACTATGGTTTCTACCCAAGCCCGAGCCCTGATTACCTGGAACACATTGTGGCAGCTCTGTGCCCAGCACATCATTCACCCAGCTCCCGTTTCCGGCACAGTGATACTCTCCTGGAATAGCACAAGAGACACAGGACACTCTCACCACCGTATCTTCTATCTTCTATTCCCCCCTTTCATTCAGAGCCTCAACTTCTCTGGGATTTGAGGAGGAGATTTGGTCATATAAATTAGAAAAAAATCTTGATAACATCTTCCAAACAATTTCTCTGACCTCTATCCTGCCTACGGAGGGAAAAGAATAGTCTCCAAAGTGGAAGGACGAGGGTTATGGCAATGATTGGGAAGGTGCTTCAAGAGGGAACAAAATTTTAATCAATTAATTTAATTTAATGCAATGAAGTGGAACAAACTATGTCTCATCCAGTCCTTCCTCTATCACTACCATGGCCTCTCCATCAAGAAAGCCAGTCATCATACCGTGGTGACTTGAAGCAGGAAGCATTACTCCTGTGGTTCTACATTAAATAATTGGTCAAACACTGGATACTCACATAAAGATGGATCTTGTAGGGGGAACTCCTGCCTCGTTGACAAGCTGAGCCAAGTGATCTCTATGATTCACTATGAATAATCCTATGGAACCTACCCTGACCCATATGACAACTATATCTTTAGAATAAGCCAAGAGTATGGACAGAATCCATCTCATCTCCTTCATTTCTTTCCAAACACTCTCCAGCACAGCAAGATTGTGCTATTCACCGTCCAACACTCTCACCCTTTCTCTCTCTTTTCTCTAGTCAAAAAAAAAAACCTACCACTTTCTTCATTCTGCATGTAGTAATATGGCTCCTCACAAGTGTAGCGAGCAACAGAACCAAATAAAGTATCTTCTGGTTCTTCGACTTTACCATTTGGAATGGGATCAGGAGAGCCACAGTCCACAGCTACAAGAGGAAGTCAGGAGAGTGATGGTCAGGATAGACACTCTTCCCAGGAAGTTGTTGATCATTAGACCAGTTCCATCCCCCCAGCCATGTCCTTCATTCTGCCCCACTCCTACATCCATAAGTACACCTGGAATGATTCTCCATGCCAGCTTCTCTGTAGCCATGCTGTCCAACTGGTATCACTCACTCCTTCCAATTCATTCTAGACCCTTGAAAGCTACAAGGAAGAACCTGGTTTTCAGTGGTTGGTAGAAGCCCCCGCAGAAGCCAGGAATGGACCCATCGGGTGCTATTAACTCTACCAAGCCTCTTTTTTAAAAAAAAAAAAAAGAAAGAAACCTGCCAGTTTGTCCTGGGACCACATCAGAGTTGGGACTTTATGATGTCTTCCCTTCAAAAACCCAACCCACTCTCACAAGCCTGAAAGGAAACCATACATGTGAATTTTGATGTGCTGATCTTTCAATGCCTTTTGGGAGGGAAAAAAAAAAAAGTCCCATTTTAAAGAGATACATACGTTCACACTTCAGTTTGGAATTACTCCACTTTCCATTGCTTTGACAAGTAGAATAGAAATGTCTCAAGCTACCACTTCCCTAGAGAAAGATAGACATCACCATTAATTTATAAGGAGGGATTTGGGGAATTAAAATGAAAAAAAATTGAATCAATCTCTGGCCTCGAATCAAAGAGGAATCCTCACCACAAAAGCCTTGGGGACATCTTAGCAGAATAGCCCAAAGCACCCAGGAGTCGGGGCTAACAGACAAGTTTGCCCCAGCATATCAGCTCCCCTGCCCCAGGAGGACTGTGGGCACAGAGAGAATGCCAGGCTGGCCAAGGAGCTCTATGACTCACAAGGAAGAACTAAAGATCCTGAGCTGTCCTGTTTATGGAAAAGGTGTTATAGCTTGCTCAAACAAGAATATTCAGCAAACAATAAGGCAATTCCAGCATGCTCATCCTCACCTAGGGATCAGGGAAAAGCCCCTAACAGTACTTTACCTGTACAACTTCGAACCCCTCCAGACAGGTTATCATCACCACATCTTTGAACACATATTTTTCCTTCTGAGGCTCCCAAACAGAATTGGCAGTGAATTCTTTAGCACAGGGGATTGCTTGGAAAGGACAGGAAAAATAATTCACCAAATAGGTGGATAATCTCTGTTCAATTTACATCATCCTCACACTTCGTAAAATTATCCAGTCATCCTCAATCCTGATTGCTAATATTCCAATATGGAGATATCTAAAATAATAAGGCATTACTAACTAACCGCTCCCAAGTTGCCTGCATTCACGGGTCCAGTTGAAGTATTCCTAGACGTTGAGGCATTTCTAGCAACCACTGACAGGTCTAGATCTGGCCGAGTAATGGGGAGTAATCAGGATACTCCTCTCTACAATAATCTACCTGTTTTGATTTTACATTGTCCAGGGACTTTTTACAACCAATCAAAGCACAACTTTTAGATTACTCACGATCTCCATGATAACGAAGTTTCCAGCCCTTTTGCTGCCCTGTTTGGTCAGTTTGAAAGATGATATCAAGAACATTACTATGGGTTTCAATATTTAGTGGCCCAGGGAATCCATTTCCACAGTAAGGACCAAACTGCTGGTCTTTTGCTACAAACTGAAAGGACACAACATGATGAAATCAGAAGAGAGAGCGAACTAAAAGAAAGGTAAAATAATGGAGATAAATAAAAATAGTATAAAATAAAACAAAGGGGGGGAGAAAAGAAAGGAGGAAAAATAATTTATCTTCAAAAAGAAATCTCTTTGTGTGAGTTGAGAGGAAAATTAATCATCTATCACGCACAACTAAACTGTCAACGCAGTTGCCCTCTGAATCAGCTGGTTCCACATCAAAATCTTCTCTCCGCACAGTTACCACCACTTGGAAACCCTTCTCCAACAGGATCTTATATTCACACCTTGAATTCTCTGGATATGGATTAGGATAATTGGGACTTGTGATCTGCCCAATCAGTTCAGTGAACACATCCCCACTGCAATTAACTAAGAGAGAAAAAAAAAAGGGGGGGGGGAATCAAATATAGACTAAGCAAAGAAGTTCCTGCCCTTTCTATGATTCCTCTTATAAACTGACAGTCCCTGACTGGAGCCCATATGCAGCAATTATACACCCAATAAATATTAGTAAAGAAACCCAGTGCCTATTGGGTTTCCATCACATTGCTTGTGATAGAGCCTTTCATAGTTATGAACAGTCACAGATAGACTCTTCAAAGGCATCTATCTCTCTTCTCCAATTAATTGACTTGACTCTGTAACCTTGTCGTCTTCCACTCTTGTGCCCCCGCAGCCTTCACTCTAAGCTAACTAAGAATAGATGCCAAATTAAGGCTGAAGGATAACTAAAGCCCTTAACTGAAGCCTCAAGCCAACCCAAATCTCAGGGACTATGCACCCGTTCAATGCCAAACTGACCTCCACAATTTTTCATATCATCATGGAGGAAGTATTCTGGGGGGCAGGAGCAGAAGTAACCACCAATGAAGTTGTTGCAGAAGTGGCTACAAGGGGCATCTGCAAAGTCTGTGCATTCATTAATATCTACAAAAGTGGAGAAAGATTGAGGTCAAGGGCAATAGACCTAGAAAGAAGAGTGAGGTTAAACCCAAAACTGCAAGGGCAAGAAAAGTTTTAAAAAAAGAACTGTTGTTTAAAGACCTTCAGTAAATCACATTTCATCAGGGGATTATTCTATATTGCTCTCCTGAAAGGTGACTCCAAAGTTATGCCTAAAGATTGTACAGCTATACGGGAGCTCTCACTGCCAGAGACCCTTGGCCCTTCTCACAAACAAGCATTTCAGCTCCAAAGAAAATACTCCACAAGCTAAACATGATGATATGTCTTCTGCAGGGATAAACAATTAGTACATTTATTACTTTGTATGATGTTGGCACTTCTGTCTAATCTAATAGTTTGGCTTTATGAGATGTTCTAACTTTATTTTAGGTGTAGCAGCACACAGAATTTGCAGGTTTGTTTGCCATATCTTGAATGGGTTTGAATATCACACATTCCTCATGTGAGTCTTGGCAAGTTATTTAACTTTTCTTGTCCTCACTTTCCTTATCTTTAAATGGCGATAATAATACCTACCTGGAAAGTTGAGGTGAAGATTAAATTAATATAGGTAACATTCCTTATATAGTGCCCACTTCATAATGGCTCTCAATAAATTGATGAGTATTATTTATTGTTAACATTATCATCATCACTACTAATTTATGATCATGTGTTTGAATTTCAGAAAGGCAACTCATAAAGGGATCCAAGGCAAGTCAACACTTTGTAAGAGTTATAAACACTCTTTATTCACTGCATTGCTCAATGTCTATCCTGCTTCTAATCTTTTAACTGGATCAATGAGTCAATAGAGAAGGGTGAGCCTTACCTACTGCAACATAGTATGCAGCAAACCCAGTGAAACGCTCTTCATTGGAGAAGTCTGACCTAAAGATCACCTGCAGTTGATTAGATGGGACTTGGAACTCTTCCACGATTGGGGAGTTGGGATTCTTGCTGGTCTTCTGTCCGCAGATTTTCCCTTCTTCAATGCCTCCTGATATTATCTAAGAGAAGAGTCAAAAAGAAGCTAGAAAAGGTAATATTTTGATACAGAGGTGAGAGAAAAAGGGACAGGGAGAGTAGAACACATACCACCTTAGACTATTCACCATATGCCTGTGGCACTCCCTCCTCCATCTCATTTGATCCCCCAGTCCTATCCAGTAGGTGCTTATTATAATATACCTGCACCGAGTCATAGTCGCAGTTCTCTGACAGCTCTATGTCCAGATGGGTGAAGTAGAGATGGATCCCGTACCCTTCAGGAACTTCTATATCCCAAGTTTTCTCTACCTCATTGGGGTATGCCTGAGGATAGTTAGGAGACAGTATCTCCCCATACATAGTAGGCTCAGCATAAACCCATGGCAAAACAGAAAACAGAACAATGCACCTGAAAAAAATAAAAGGCATATGAAGCAGGGGGTGACACCAGTACAGAAGACGAGTGCAGAGCTCCAGCATTTGTCACAGAGACAAGAACCACAATATGGGGAGGAGAATCTTAGGTTGGAATAAAGTAAAAAGGCATAGATCAGACCAAAACCCAGACTTCAGAACTGAGCTGTTTACTTAAGAAGATGAAGAGAATGGAGTCTATGCAGATCTCCACAGACTCATGGTCACTTACCACATTGTTGGCAATTTGTCCATCCTGGTGAGCAGCACGTGTCTTGGACCTGGCTCTCAACACCTCTGGACTTTGGAGCTAAAGGAGATGGGGGCAGGTCTAGCTGTATTTGTCTAACAAACACAGGCAACTGCTTTGGAGAGTCACCTGTGGTCAGTGTCACCTTCACAAGAATAACACACAAACAGTTATATCATCACCATATGACCCCTATCTCCTTACACCCTCCCTGGTTCTACTTCAATTAACTTTCTAAACTAAAACTAAATCATATCCTTCTCCCATTGCTCTCTGGATCTTATCCCAGTTTTTCTCCAAAAGAATGAGTATGGCCCTAGATGGTTTGGCTCAGTGGATAGAGCATTGGCTTGCGGACCGAAGGGTCCCAGGTTCAATTCTAGTCAAGGGCACATGCTCAGGTTTCGGACTCAGACCCCAGTGTTGGGCATGCAGGAGGTAGCTAATCAATGATTCTCTCTCATCATTGATGTGTTTCTCTCTCTCTCTCTCTCTCTCTCTCTCTCTCTCTCTCTCTCTCTCTCTCTCTCTCTCTCTCTCTCTCTCTCTCTCTCTCTCTCTCTCTCTCTCTCTCTCTCTCTCTCCTCCTTCCTTTCTGAAATCAATACAAATATATTTTTTAAAAACACACAAAAAATGAGTACTTGATCCCAGTTTTCTTCCTCCTCTGTTCTCCTCCCCACCCCACCCCCCATCCAGCCCCAACTTCATCAGTCTCTCTCCTGCCTCACAGAACAAGATCACTATTTCCACTCAGGTTTTCAGGAGTCTTTCCTCATTGTGCCCTTTCATCTAAGGCATGTTCTCTCTTGACAGTGATCCCCCTATCACTTCAAACCAGCTGTCTTTGCTATATTTATTATTGCATGCATTTCTATTGATACTCCCAATGAACACTGATGGAGCAAGAGCTTCTTTCACTAGAGTAGGCAGTGACCTTGGGAGAACTGGTCTGAGACAGGGTTGGGTGGGGAAGGAGAAAAGGGGTAACTGGATAACAATAAATATAAAAGGAAAAGAAAGGTATTTCCTCAATTTTCTACATTAATTTTCCAGGAGGCAAGGTTTCCCCCTTCACTAAAAAAGACAAAATATCATCTTTCCACCGTTTCTAGAAAAGTTTTGCCAAAGGGGTGGGGGCAGGCCAGATGTAAATCCTGAAAACAGTACTAGGCACATGAGGTCGGGTGACGTGAGGGTGGATGAGATGCCTAAGAGAAATAGGTTACAGTATCTATATTTTTGCCTTCGTTTTATTCTGCTCTTCCCAACCCTCCATCTTTGCCCAAAACCTTTGTATGTAAAGTTTTCTGCTTTCTTTTTGCCTCCATCAAAGCTCTGCTCTTTGTTTTTAAGGTTTTTACCTTTAGAAGCTGAGGGAAGCAAGTGGGTCAGTCCCCTCTCTTGCCAGTGGGCATGCTGGGCGACCCTGCCGGCTCCCAAGGAGAGAAGTACGGGGCCTGGACGCTCCCTCCGCTGGAACCTCTGCTGGCCTCCCTGTCCTGGTTCTGGTGATATGATTCTCTACCCCAGAGTGCATGTCTGAAATTCCCTGGCCTAAACAAGAGGGGGCTGGGAGACCATGACATAGGGAAAGGGTAACTCAGCCTTGATCTTAGAGCTCCCTCTGCTTTTGAAACAAGAACTGCATACTTCTCTCAGGCCTACGATTCCTCTATCCAGGGCTGCAGAGGGAGAAAGGAGGAATGGGGGATTTCACCGATTGCCTAATGCTCTTTTTCAGCCAAAGGGTGTGTTACAGAGTTTTCTGGGAAGTCAGGTGATTTGTGGGAGAAGGAGGGGATTAATACTGGGGGGGCGGGGGGGCAAACCCAGAAAGCCCAACCCTCCAGTTGTGTATGAATCATGAATTAAGGGAAAATAGTTATCCGTAATGCAGGTCTTCTCCGCCCTTAAAGCATATTTAATGGTTGGATAATGACATACCTAGACCCAAGCAGGTGTGGGATGGTGCTTTTTCCTCTTCCTAAAACCCCCTCCACATCTCCAAACATCTAGATTCTACTCACCAATCAAGGCCCAGTTCAGACGCAATCCAGAGTCCCTAATCCAGTACCCTTGAGTACAGACATGTTTCGAAATTCAGAATTTTAAGATTTTTAGAAAGACAGGGCAGTACATGGACCTAATATTAGGTAACACCGCTTCCTCTCCCTCCCCTTGAGGGCCTGGGAAAACACACCGTTAGCAAACATTAATATTTCTGCAGATAAACAGATTGATCCTCACAGTAAGTGGAATAACTAAAATTATAGTTTAGTTATAATCCTATATTATATTTAGCAATTACTTATCATTGTAAATAGGTACTTCACATCAGTTCAGTCAGGCTTTGCTGCCAAATGAGTGCTGGACAGATGATCATTTGTCCTTCCTGTGGCTGCCCAGCATTTGACTGTCTTCACCACATTTGGGGGCTTCCTCATCATGAGTCTGGGGAGCGAAGCCCACCACCCAGGAGAGAAGACGGAAGTGAGGAAGTGTGCCCCTCACCACTCTAGCTGCCCTAGCGCAGCCCTGCACTCACGCCTCAGTCATCGGAGACATCAGCCGCGGCTTTGAGTCCAGAAGTAGTAACGCCAAGAAGCAGGGACTCTGGAACCTCTGGGGGCTGTGGCAGCTGCAGCAAGACGGAGGAGGAGGTTGTGCTTGCTAGCAGCATCCAGAATCCAGCCCCAGCGAATAAGCATCGCAACTGAAGCATCTAGAACACAGCAAAGGCAATGGCAGCCGAGCAGCCATGTT